ATAAACACATGATGTTGGAATACTTTCACAGATTTAATAAACACATGATGTTGGAATACTTTCACAGATTAAATAAACACGTGATGTTGGAATGCTTTCACAGATTTAATAAACACATGATGTTGGAATACTTTCACAGATTTAATAAACACATGATGTTGGAACACTTTCACAGATTTGATAAACACATGATGTTGGAACACTTTCACAGATTTAATAAACACATGATGTTGGAACACTTTCACAGATTTAATAAACACATGATGTTGGAACACTTTCACAGATTTAATAAACACATGATGTTGGAACACTTTCACAGATCTTTATCTGTGATGAAGGAAAGAGAAAATATCAAACACTTTTTAAAATACTGGATGAAAAAAATAATGGAAGGGAAATTTTTAATAAATGTCAATTTTATTTATCAGTATATGGATAACAGCACAGAGATGGACTGGTCAACTCTCAATTCCCAGTACATGCGTTTGGCCAGCTGGGTAGAGTATTGGTCAGTCAACACTCCAATACTGGATCTACCGTCACTGGCCAATCTGCAGACAACACTAGAACAACAGTACAGCCAGGAGCTGATGGATTGGGCTTGGTTAGTTCCTTACTTAGCACACGGTTATATTCTCTGTAAAATTGGCCGTGAACAGATAAATTATGATATTGCAATTGTATGGAATTTGAGAAGTTAATGAGAGCACTTGTAAAGCCCATCTGTTAAATCAGTGTTGAAAAAAAAAAAATATTGATGAGTAGATTTTGAAACAATAATTTGGGTTGAAGGAGTTAGTCAGTTGATAATGTTATTCATTTGAATATATTGTAAAGAAAGAAAGTACAAAAATTGTAGCTGAAATTCAGTGATGTTAATTGTGGCCGAGTATAGGTTGCAAGAACACTGCCTTTGTTCATGAAAATGCACAAATTTCGACCTGCAGGCCACAGCCATCACTCCTATAATAAAGATCAATTTGTGAATCAGTTCCTCTGTTTTGTTTCTATTCCAAGTAACTTGTTGTTTATGGACAGTGTGAATTTTAAAAGACAACTTGCATTGCAGGGCTAGCATGTTTGGTCAGACATTGGGTCCCATCACAGATCCTGATTTGGAAAAAGCTATCGCCACGGTGAACTTGATTGTGAAGGTGGTGAACCACAGACTGGACCACCTCACCGGTCAGTATAGACTTACAACTCTAACTAAATGTAAACAAAGAGGATTTACAGGTTCTTCATTAAAATTGGTGGTCTTACTTTTAAAATTGTTTTTAATACGTTCACTTGAGGTTTTATGTTTTGTTGGTACAATCTTACAGTCGGCCAGTAAGTGAATGAAATCAGTATCAACAATAGTTAAACTGAATGAGACAATGACACAGAATTTTTTGTGTTGTACAATGATGTAAACAACAGTTCAACTTGGTTTAATTTATTTCTTTAAAAAGTAAATACGAACCAATATTTTAACGTATACAAGAGTGATACTACACTTTCATCATTATCATAAATCTTTCCAAACATGATTATTAAAGTTGTTTCCTATTAAATGACAACGTTCACATTTTCATTTACTTATTAGTATCATCAGATCATTCAAGTGGCCAAGAAAAATAGGATTCTCCTTCTTTCCATTCCGTTTCAAAGGACTACCTCAGCCATGCATTTTACAATTATTTGTTTCCCTGTTTTAGATACTGTTAGTTTGAAAACACTTCTCAAGAATGAAACTGACTTAGAGGAAGTCTTACAAGCTTATCTGAACATAATGCAGTACAGCACCAATCTCCTGTCCCCAGATAGCGACATCAATGTGGAACGGGTAAGTCATGTGGGTGTGAAAAATGATTTAGTCAGTATGGTCTAAAGTTTGTTTCTCTTCACAACAAAAGTCAGATGATGACGTTTAACAGAAGATGGAGCACTCAAGGACAGCTACTTTAAAAGTGCCATCTCACTGAATTTTAACTTTGACATGTTAGCATAAATTCATGTATAGATGATCAAGTGTATGCAGGGAAATTGTCAAACTTTCGTCCCACACCCACGAAATCAATTTAATGACCATGTTTATTAGGATGTTTACTGATATTTGTAGTAATAAGTTCACCCTCATTACGGAGGACGATGAAGGCGAAAATTTAACGACAGCGAAGATTTCCTGGTGTACAGTATATTTTCTTGTTATCATTAACAAATTCCACATAGAGATGTGGGGTCTTACTGGTGAAAATAGATACAATTATATTTTGCAGTTTTTGTATCAAAAGGAGCAATATAACTGTAATATTACAAATTGTACTGTAGTTCATCATTATGAATACTAGAACAACATTTGATTTGAAATAAAAACTGAATGTCTGAAAAGGTGTAAAATAAAGAATACATTTTTTATATTCTTTTTGTTCTAGCTATTACAGCTGATAGAGAACGGAAGTGTATTGATGTCTATGTGTCAGAGTTCCTCACTGGCCACTTATCTCTCAAAGACTGGACAGGCCACAAACTTGACCAACAACATACAGATTGCCATGTGTGTGAACCCTGAGGTTTTCATGCAGAACATCCAGTCGCAGGCCGAGGCTGATTACATAGAAGCAGAGGTAACTTGTTAACCTGACAACAAAACCTATCGCTGCAAGTTGTAAATTCTATTGGAACTGTTGAAAATAATTATTTTGATAAAACGTGAAGGATACTCACATTACATACAGAAGTTGTGCAATGCAATGTATTTATATAGGTCAGTGCTAAATGTTTTGATGTTTAGGGCAGAAGTGGAATATAAGCAAATTTTCAATAAATATGCCATAACATTTAAGCCATTACAGATATATTGACGAAACCTACAGCAGACTTGCATCCCTGACACAGGTGTGCAGTATACTGTATTTAGGTCATTGTGACTTTCACCCTTAGGTTAAACATGAAATAAGTGCAAAGCAAATAAGCGTTTTGGCATGGAATACAATTTTTTATTCACAAGAACAAATCTCTATTAACTTTGTATTCTGTTTCCTGCCTTAAGCTCTATATATATCACTTGGTCAAGTGTGTTGTTCCCTTATCATTCATATAGATAAGGATGATATTGATATCAGGATAGTAATTTAGTGATATCAGGATAGTTATATAGTGATATCAGGATAGTTATATAGTGATATCAGGATAGTTATATAGTGATATAAGGATAGTTATATAGTGATATCAGGATAGTTATATAGTGATATCAGGATAGTTATATAGTGATATCAGGATAGTTATATAGTGATATCAGGATAGTTATATAGTGATATCAGGATAGTTATATAGTGATATCAGGATAGTTATATAGTGATATCAGGATAGTTATATAGTGATATCAGGATAGTTATATAGTGATATCAGGATAGTTATATAGTGATATCAGGATAGTTATATAGTGATATCAGGATAGTTATATAGTGATATCAGGATAGTTATATAGTGATATCAGGATAGTTATATAGTGATATCAGGATAGTTATATAGTGATATCAGGATAGTTATATAGTGATATCAGGATAGTTATATAGTGATATCAGGATAGTTATATAGTGATATCAGGATAGTTATATAGTGATATCAGGATAGTTATATAGTGATATCAGGATAGTTATATAGTGATATCAGGATAGTTATATAGTGATATCAGGATAGTTATATAGTGATATCAGGATAGTTATATAGTGATATCAGGATAGTTATATAGTGATATCAGGATAGTTATATAGTGATATCAGGATAGTTATATAGTGATATCAGGATAGTTATATAGTGATATCAGGATAGTTATATAGTGATATCAGGATAGTTATATAGTGATATCAGGATAGTTATATAGTGATATCAGGATAGTTATATAGTGATATCAGGATAGTTATATAGTGATATCAGGATAGTTATATAGTGATATCAGGATAGTTATATAGTGATATCAGGATAGTTATATAGTGATATCAGGATAGTTATATAGTGATATCAGGATAGTTATATAGTGATATCAGGATAGTTATATAGTGATATCAGGATAGTTATATAGTGATATCAGGATAGTTATATAGTGATATCAGGATAGTTATATAGTGATATCAGGATAGTTATATAGTGATATCAGGATAGTTATATAGTGATATCAGGATAGTTATATAGTGATATCAGGATAGTTATATAGTGATATCAGGATAGTTATATAGTGATATCAGGATAGTTATATAGTGATATCAGGATAGTTATATAGTGATATCAGGATAGTTATATAGTGATATCAGGATAGTTATATAGTGATATCAGGATAGTTATATAGTGATATCAGGATAGTTATATAGTGATATCAGGATAGTTATATAGTGATATCAGGATAGTTATATAGTGATATCAGGATAGTTATATAGTGATATCAGGATAGTTATATAGTGATATCAGGATAGTTATATAGTGATATCAGGATAGTTATATAGTGATATCAGGATAGTTATATAGTGATATCAGGATAGTTATATAGTGATATCAGGATAGTTATATAGTGATATCAGGATAGTTATATAGTGATATCAGGATAGTTATATAGTGATATCAGGATAGTTATATAGTGATATCAGGATAGTTATATAGTGATATCAGGATAGTTATATAGTGATATCAGGATAGTTATATAGTGATATCAGGATAGTTATATAGTGATATCAGGATAGTTATATAGTGATATCAGGATAGTTATATAGTGATATCAGGATAGTTATATAGTGATATCAGGATAGTTATATAGTGATATCAGGATAGTTATATAGTGATATCAGGATAGTTATATAGTGATATCAGGATAGTTATATAGTGATATCAGGATAGTTATATAGTGATATCAGGATAGTTATATAGTGATATCAGGATAGTTATATAGTGATATCAGGATAGTTATATAGTGATATCAGGATAGTTATATAGTGATATCAGGATAGTTATATAGTGATATCAGGATAGTTATATAGTGATATCAGGATAGTTATATAGTGATATCAGGATAGTTATATAGTGATATCAGGATAGTTATATAGTGATATCAGGATAGTTATATAGTGATATCAGGATAGTTATATAGTGATATCAGGATAGTTATATAGTGATATCAGGATAGTTATATAGTGATATAAGGATAGTTATATAGTGATATCAGGATAGTTATATAGTGATATCAGGATAGTTAAATAGAGATATCAGGATAGTTATATAGAGATATCAGGATAGTTATATACAGATATCAGGATAGTTATATACAGATATCAGGATAGTTATATAGCGATATCAGGATAGTTATATAGAGATATCTCTATATAACTGTCCTGATGTCACTATATAACTATCCTTATATCTCTATATAACTATCCTGTAATCACTATATAACTGTCCTGATGTCACTATATAACTATCCTTATATCACTATTTAACTGTCCTGATATCACTATATTAAAATCCTGATATCTGTATATAACTATCCTGATATCGCTATATAACTATCCTGATATAACTATCCATATATCACTATATAACTATACTGATATCTCTATATAACTATCCTGATATCAGGATAGTTATATAGTGATTACAGGATAGTTATATAGAGATATCAGGATAGTTATATAGTAATATCAGGACAGTAATATCTAAAGCCTGCTATTGACTACCTGTTTTGTGTAACAGTTAATGAGGATTTGGAACAGCTCGGAACCTCTGAATATGAACTGGAATGATCTGAATAGTAACATAGAAAACATGACCAGACTACTGACGGCACTCTTACAACAAGAACCTATGGTAGACACAGGTCTATTGAGCCTCTTTGGAAACTTCAGTATGATGCTGCAGTCTATTGAATATGTTCTACAAGACCCCATGAAGTAAGTAATACTTCAGGTTGTTTACATGTTAGTGTGTATTGTCACATTTCTTTGTTTCTCTTTACAGTGGCAATATGTAAAAAAAATGTACGTAATACTTTAGGTTGTTTACATGTTAGTGTGTATTGTCACATCTTTGTTTCACTTTACAGTGGCAATATGTAAGAATGTACGTAATACTTCAGGTTGTTTACATGTTAGTGTGTATTGTCACATCTTTGTTTCACTTTACAGTGGCAATATGTAAGAATGTAAGTAATACTTCAGGTTGTTTACATGTTAGTGTGTATTGTCACATTTTACAGTGGCAATATGTAAGAATGTAAGTAATACTTCAGGTTGTTTACATGTTAGTGTGTATTGTCACATTTTACAGTGGCAATATGTAAGAATGTAAGTAATACTTCAGGTTGTTTACATGTTAGTGTGTATTGTCACATTTTACAGTGGCAATATGTAAGAATGTAAGTAATACTTCAGGTTGTTTACATGTTAGTGTGTATTGTCACATTTTACAGTGGCAATATGTAAGAATGTAAGTAATACTTCAGGTTGTTTACATGTTAGTGTGTATTGTCACATTTTACAGTGGCAATATGTAAGAATGTAAGTAATACTTCAGGTTGTTTACATGTTAGTGTGTATTGTCACATTTTACAGTGGCAATATGTAAGAATGTAAGTAATACTTCAGGTTGTTTACATGTTAGTGTGTATTGTCACATTTTACAGTGGCAATATGTAGAATATAAGAATAGTCAAGGGTTGCTCTCAACACACATTGACTACTCAAGCCATCTTTGTATAATGTTTGGTTCTGTAAATATAGATACGAAATCTTGTTTACAGATTGATTGATAGGAAATCTTGTTTTTGAGATTGATTGAAAGGAAATCTTGTTTTTAAGATTAATTGATAGGAAATCTTGTTTTTGAGATTGATTGATAGGAAATCTTGTTTTTGAGATTGATTGATAGGAAATCTTGTTTTACAGATTGATCGAGATGTCATCAAGTGTGAATCCTCTAATGTCCACAACAGTAGATTCAGAGCTAGGCCCATTCTTAGATGTGTGGCGACACATTTACTCAAATATGCATCAAATGATTTCATCTGTACAAGGTAACTAAGTTCTGTCTATTTCATTATTTGCTTTCTACAAAGTACAGGTAGTTTAGTTTTATTGGTTTCACATTTTTGTTACAGTAAATATACAAAGTACAGGTAGTTTAGTTTTATTGGTTTCACATTTTTGTTACAGTAAATATACAAAGTAAAGGTAGTTTAGTTTTATTGGTTTCACATTTTTGTTACAGTAAATATACAAAGTACAGGTAGTTTAGTTTTATTGGTTTCACATTTTTGTTACAGTAAATATACAAAGTACAGGTAGTTTAGTTTTATTGGTTTCACATTTTTGTTACAGTAAATATACAAAGTAATTAAGTTCTATCAATTTCATTAATTACATTAATGCATCTATCAATACAAATGCGTAAAAATCGAGAATTGAAGGATTAATCATTGTTCATTTTCTTAAGGGAGCTATCAAATGTTGCCTGATACGTTCTTACATTGGAAAGTACAGTAATCAATATAGATGTTAGATAGTTCAACTCGGATTTATAAACTATCATATTTTGTATCAGATGGAAAACCAGTAAACAGCAGTTTGGTCCAAAACCTTTTTAATGCTGTGTCGTCGCTGGATTTGCAGAGTCTTACAGGGGATTCTAACTACGAGCTATTGGTGAGTAATACACACGAGACATGTCAATCTTCAGTAATACATACAAGACATGTTAATCTTCAGTAATACACATGAGACATGTCAATTTTCAGTAATACACGGGAGACATGTCAATCTTCAGAAATACATACAAGACATGTCAATCTTCAGTAATACATACAATACATGTCAATCTTCTGTAATACATACAAGACATGTCAATCTTCAGTAATACATTCAAGACATGTCAATCTCCAGTAATACACACGAGACATGTCAATTTTCAGTTATACATGTGAGACATGTCAATCTTCAGTAATACATATAAGACATGTCAATCTTCTGTATTACATACAAGACATGTCAATCTTCAGTAATACATTCAAGACATGTCAATCTCCAGTAATACACACGAGACATGTCAATTTTCAGTTATACATGTGAGACATGTCAATCTTCAGTAATACATATATGACATGTCAATCTTCTGTAATACATACAAGACATGTCAATCTTCTGTAATCCCTACAAGACATGTCAATCTTCAGTAATACATACAATACATGTCAATCTTCTGTAATACATACAAGACATGTCAATCTTCTGTAAAATATACAAGACATGTCAATCTTCAGTAATACACATGAGACATGTCAATTTTCAGTAATACACGTGAGACATGTCAATCTTCAGAAATACATACAAGACATGTCAATCTTCAGTAATATATACAAGACATGTTAATCTTCAGTAATACACATGAGACATGTCAATTTTCAGTAATACACGGGAGACATGTCAATCTTCAGAAATACATACAAGACATGTCAATCTTCAGTAATACATTCAAGACATGTCAATCTCCAGTAATACACACGAGACATGTCAATTTTCAGTTATACATGTGAGACATGTCAATCTTCAGTAATACATATAAGACATGTCAATCTTCTGTATTACATACAAGACATGTCAATCTTCAGTAATACACATGAGACATGTCAATCTTCAGTAATACACATAAGACATGTCAATCTTCTGTAATACACATGAGACATGTCAATCTTCTGTAATACACATGAGACATGTCAATCTTCAGTAATACATACAAGACATGTCAATCTTCAGTAATACACACGAGACATGTCAATTTTCAGTTATACATGTGAGACATGTCAATCTTCAGTAATACATATAAGACATGTCAATCTTCTGTAATACACACGAGACATGTCAATTTTCAGTAATACATGTGAGACATGTCAATCTTCAGTAATACATACAAGACATGTCAATCTTCAGTAATACACATGAGACATGTCAATCTTCTGTAATACACACGAGACATGTCAATCTTCAGTAATACATTCAAGACATGTCAATCTCCAGTAATACACACGAGACATGTCAATCTTCAGTAATACACATGAGACATGTCAATCTTCAGTAATACATACAAGACATGTTAAGTTAGAGTAATACACACGAAATATGTGATACATATGTGATATGTAAACGGTGAGCAATGAGCTGGAGTAATGATAATTGTAATAGTCCAAAGCTATTAAAAAGTATTATTTCAACTTGAGTTAGAAGAATTAATTGATAACTTTCAGTTGGAGGAGGTTGGACAGCATACAGATGTTCTGGCGTTTGTGTGTGATGAGTCCGCCATTAGTGGCCACTTACCTGGTGAGGCCACAGCTATTAGGGGAGCATTGTGTGGCTACCCAGCGAACATGTGGCAGGACAGACTCCATGTGGTGTTTGGAATGAACAGTACCATGCTGGCTCAATTGGTTGAAGTGGTAAGTTAACACAGCACAAAATCTTACCTGGGCAAAACTTCTCTCAAATATTGTACACAAGGGCTAGACTCTTACTTCATTGAAGATTGTATACCAGGGCAAAAGTGTTCCCTCATTAGAATGACTTTTGAAGGCAAAGTAATATAAACTCCTAACATTCCTGGTGAAATCATATCCTGTGAAAACCTTTTGACTTTATTCTTTTGCAGTTTCCTTTATTTGAAACAATTCCTATTTACATTGTATAGAGCTCGTAATGTTTATGTCTGTTTTATACTTTGAATAATTCTGCTTCCTTGAATTAATTAAACAGCTTAAGACGGTTTTCCCACAACACTTTATGAAGACTCCTACCATGACATGGGGCGAGTTCTTTGATCAGATACAAAATCTGACAGAAGCAACTGTATCTTTGAATGCTAATCACACAGAGGTATTGATGCAGGCCATTCTCGGGGCCCTGGGAGAAATGACCCAATCTGACCAGACAGTCAGCAGGTAAGGGCAAAGTTATTTTGATAAATTCATCCCGTCATCACCACATACATTTTTGTCACTTTCCTCTTGTAGATAAGGGCCGCTTTCGTTTATCGCGATCTAAACGTTTAGACCAGAGTTGTTGTCGTTTATGAAATAAGGTCAGACTTTGTAATCTGAAGCTGCTTTCAGGCGAGCGAGCCTTGACAAAACCTTGAAAGACCTGCATAAACATTTAGAGGTCTGTCCGGATTTATACCCAAGAATGTTGCATTTAAAACAGACAAACCAGTTATGCATAAATGAACAGGCCCCTAGTATAAGTTTAAAATCTACAATTGAATTGCCACATTTATTGGAAAGTAAGTGTCCTGGTAATGTCACCGCTGACCTCTGGTGTCACTTGTTAAGATACAGAAAATAATAAAATTTAACAGCTTTTAACTAACTTCCATAATAAAGGTTTATGACATAAACTAGGGGGAGTTTCCTATGAAATGTGAAAAAATTGTGTCAAAAGATTGACTAACAAAGCAAGGGAAAACTCCACAAAGTTTGCTAGTTCCTGATGTCATAACATTGTTCCATGTGATATTGCAGTGGAGGATGATATTAGAAGTTGCACAGAATGAATACATGATGGTGTAGTGATGCTGCTACAGCATGTCATACATCCTATTATCATAATGTGTACATATCGTCACCAAGTCATTCTATCAGTGTTGTAAATCTCATTATAACATACAACATTGATTTATTTTATTATGAACAGTTCCTTGGAATGGCTAAAGACGTTCACCGATGGTACCTCAGGTGGAGCCCAAGGAATCCTCACCTTCCTCACAGAGATCAACAAATACCTCGATAGACAGCTACAACTCCTAAAGGGTAAGTTAGCCCAGTACAGCTCTTACAGTGTAAGTTAGTCCAGTACAACTCCTACAGTGCAAGTTAGTCCAGTACAGGTCTTACAGTGTAAGTTAGTCCAGTACAACTCCTAAAGGGTAAGTTAGTCCAGTACAGCTCCTACAGTGTAAGTTTGTCCAGTACAGCTCTTACAGTGTAAGTTAGTCCAGTACAGCTCTTACAGTGTAAGTTAGTCCAGTACACCTCCTAAAGGGTAAGTTAGTCCAGTACAGTTCTTACAGTGTAAGTTAGTCCAGTACAGCTCTTACAGTGTAAGTTAGTCCAGTACAGCTCCTACAGTGTAAGTAAGCCCAGTACAGCTCCTACAGTGTAAGTTAGTCCAGTACAACTCCTAAAGGATAAGTTAGTCCAGTACAACTCCTACAGTGTAAGTTCGTCCAGTACAGCTCCTACAGTATAAGTTAGTCCAGTACAGCTCTTACAGTGTAAAATAGTCCAGTACAGCTCCTACAGTGTAAGTTAGTCCAGTACAGCTCCTACAGTGTAAAATAGTCCAGTACAGCTCCTACAGTGTAAGTTAGTCCAGTACAGTTCCTACAGTATAAGTTAGTCCAGTACAGCTCTTACAGTGTAAAATAGTCCAGTACAGCTCCTACAGTGTAAGTTAGTCCAGTACAACTCCTAAAGGGTAAGTTAGTCCAGTACAACTCCTAAAGGGTAAGTTAGTCCAGTACAGCTCTTACAGTGTAAGTTAGTCCAGTACGGCTCCTACAGTGTAATTGTACCAGCTGTCGGTATGGACATTATTTGCCCTACAATACTTTGCCTTGTTACTATTAATATTGGTATGGCAAGCCATCACCAAATGTGTACTAGGTCTGTCAACAATGGTCTGTCACAGTTTTGACTTCTGAAAGAGTTTTTAAACCCATTTGACCTAACACTGACAGTGTCAGTTGTACAATGTAGCTTAAATAAAGAAGTGTTGTAATATCTCTAATTGATTATTCCAGATGATGGCAGTAACGTACCTCTGTCTGTCCTCTTGCCCAACAGTACTCTACTGGCAGACCTACTGGAACAGTTAAATCACGAAACAGCAGCTGGGCTTCTAGCAGCATACATTAACCCTAATGAGGTTGTTACACATTGATTGATATTATTAGTTAAGTCAGTCTGCACATATAAGTGATAAACAGGGATAAACAGGGATATAGTCTGGTAACTAACAGATAGTTTTCTGAAGCATACATTTTGATGTTTGACAAAGCTGGAACAGCTAATTGTTGGTGTTATAAAACCTATAATACTATTGTATCAGATGTGATTCTACATATTATGAATTGCCATTGTTTTCTAATGGATCAATCATAACCCACCTGGAGATCTGAGCATCACTTTCTCTTCCTTGTTCTTATAAAGACTTTCTATGAACCTGATATCAAGTACTAACAAACTGGAATTTAGTTTCATACCGGACACCTTAAAAGGTTTAGGTAAAAAAAACAGGTAGGTATATGATAATGCTGTTGTCCGATTTCAGTTTTTGGAGTTGGTACTTACTGACCGATGGACAGAAGTAGTGTGTAATGTGAGCCTGTTCCAGTCGACATTTATGTTCCCTAATGGAACAAACACCCAGAGGATCCAGCAGGACCTGTGTGCTGATGCTCAGAGTCAGGAATCTGTCATCAATGACATTCTACAGAGGCTAAACATGATGGAGGTTTTGACTGCCGTGAGTAATCGACTGTATGACCAATGTAACATCAACTAGACTCAGTCAAATTTCATTTCTTACAGAGATAATGATTCTGATCAGCTCTTAAATATAGGCAGTTTTTGTTTAACAAGTTTGATACAATTTTTTAGTTTGATGACTGGATCATGGGAAGAGCACCTGCTGTCTCCATGAATGATACCTATGTGTGGGGAGCTATACAACAACACACACAGATGCTTTTAAATAACATAGAGAAGATAACTAATCTCACCTTCTCTACCAATGGTCTGGAACAATGGTTGGTGCCCATCATGAAAGCCGTTGAAGCCATGAGCACACCAAATCCAGAAAGGTATATATTGTGAAAATAAAAAACCCATAAAGTAGCAAATAACTTGTTATAGAAAAAAAATCATTTGATTTAATGTGATATGCTAATCTGCAAATAGAAATAAAAAGGAAACAGTGTGAAAGTGTTATTCATGTATGTAGCCTTTGAATTGAGATGAACATGATGGTTGAGATATGACTGTTTGAAAGCATATCTGGATTGTTTTTACATTTTAATCATGCTGCAGATCAATCAAATTGATCCTTATGAGAACAAAAGTGTAATGAATTTCAAGTTGTACTGATCACCATGATATGTTTGACAGAAATGAGACGTTGTTTGAGTGAATGTTTTATTTGTTTGACAGTCTTGGCCAGACATGTGAGATGATGTTATCCTATATTGACAACACTGTTTTATTTGTTTGACAGTCTTGGCCAGACATGTGAGGTGATGTTATCCTATATTGACAACACTGTTTTATTTGTTTGACAGTCTTGGCCAGACATGTGAGGTGATGTTATCCTATATTGACAACACTGTTTTATTTGTTTGACAGTCTTGGCCAGACATGTGAGGTGATGTTATCCTATATTGACAACACTGTTTTATTTGTTTGACAGTCTTGGCCAGACATGTGAGGTGATGTTATCCTATATTGACAACACTGTTTTATTTGTTTGACAGTCTTGGCCAGACATGTGAGGTGATGTTATCCTATATTGACAACACTGTTTTATTTGTTTGACAGTCTTGGCCAGACATGTGAGGTGATGTTATCCTATATTGACAACACTGTTTTATTTGTTTGACAGTCTTGGCCAGACATGTGAGGTGATGTTATCCTATATTGACAACACTGTTTTATTTGTTTGACAGTCTTGGCCAGACATGTGAGGTGATGTTATCCTATATTGACAACACTGTTTTATTTGTTTGACAGTCTTGGCCAGACATGTGAGGTGATGTTATCCTATATTGACAACACTGTTTTATTTGTTTGACAGTCTTGGCCAGACATGTGAGGTGATGTTATCCTATATTGACAACACTGTTTTATTTGTTTGACAGTCTTGGCCAGACATGTGAGGTGATGTTATCCTATATTGACAACACTGTTTTATTTGTTTGACAGTCTTGGCCAGACATGTGAGGTGATGTTATCCTATATTGACAACACTGTTTTATTTGTTTGACAGTCTTGGCCAGACATGTGAGGTGATGTTATCCTATATTGACAACACTGTTTTATTTGTTTGACAGTCTTGGCCAGACATGTGAGGTGATGTTATCCTATATTGACAACACTGTTTTATTTGTTTGACAGTCTTAGCCAGACTTGTGAGGTGATGTTATCCTATATTGACAACACTGTTTTATTTGTTTGACAGTCTTGGCCAGACATGTGAGGTGATGTTATCCTATATTGACAACACTGTTTTATTTGTTTGACAGTCTTGGCCAGACATGTGAGGTGATGTTATCCTATATTGACAACACTGTTTTATTTGTTTGACAGTCTTGGCCAGACATGTGAGATGATGTTATCCTATATTGACAACACCGACCTCTACACCTCCTCCATACAACCTGTACTTCTAGGCATCCTCAGCAACATGGCCATCTCCACTAAACAAATGGCTATACAGTCCAGTAAGTACATTTAGTGCAGAGGGCGTAGTCCTCGCAGGGACCAAGGGGCCTAGTCCACATTGAGTCCAAAACATTATGTAACTCAATTATAAAAAGTAATTTCATTTTGGAAACAAACCTGATTAATTCTTTTGCTGCAGCTATAAAGATGAAAATGTTTGTTGTATTGTAGTTATAGAGGATTCCCTCTGTGACCTGGCCAACTGGAACGTATCGGCCCTGACAAGGAGGATACAAGAAACGAACCTTACCCAACTCATCATCAGTGTAAGTGAGATAGAGGTGGAGAATAGAAAGTCCGCACTTACACACTCTAGCTGGAAACTGGGTATCAGCAATGTTCATAGACTTTTGTATATTGTGACTATGCAGTGATAGGAAGTGAACGTTAAAAACTGTAGTATGGATAATAGAGTCCGGTGTAGAGGAACTACAGTAGTTCCTGTACTGGAAAACAACTATAACTTTAGTATGGTTAATAGAGTTCTGTGTAGAGGAAGTACAGTAGTTCCTGTACTGGAAAACAACTATAACTTTAGTATGGTTAATAGAGTTCAGTGTAGAGGAACTACAGTAGTTCCTGTACTGGAAAACAACTATAACTTTAGTATGGTTAATAGAGTTCAGTGTAGAGGAACTACAGTAGTTCCTGTACTGGAAAACAACTATAACTTTAGTATGGTTAATAGAGTTCTGTGTAGAGGAACAACAGTAGTTCCTGTACCGGAAAACAACTATAACTGTAGTATGGATAATAGAGTTCTGTGTAGAGGAACTACAGTAGTTCCTGTACCGTAAAACAACTATAACTGTAGTATGGATAATAGAGTTCAGTGTAGAGGAACTACAGTAGTTCCTGTACCGTAAAACAACTATAACTTTAGTATGGTTAATAGAGTTCAGTGTAGAGGAACTACAGTAGTTCCTGTACCGTAAAACAACTATAACTGTAGTATGGTTAATAGAGTTCAGTGTAGAGGAACTACAGTAGTTCCTGTACCGGAAAACAACTATAACTATAGCACAAGAAGATAGTTGGAAAACATGAGTAAAAAGATATTTAAAGTCATTCATTGGTTTTGGCTTTTAAGCAGTCATTCCCAATAGGTTTCTGATCCATCTTTACTTACATTTGTAACTGAGTTGAGTCTGACACACCTTGAACAATATAAGATGGTAAAAGGAAGGATTAACTCTAATTTTGCAGCTTGGCTCCCCAGTCATGGACGTATCGGGGACGTTCCAGTGCTCAGCGATGGTGGCAGCATCCAACGACATAGCTAGGATGTGGAATGAAAGTGTGTCGCGTATGGCCGCCAGTAATACTTCATTTGAATGTCTAATAGGCAGTCTCCAGGCCCCCTTTAAACTGTTCTCCGATGCCTCACAGTAAGATTCTACACTGTTTATATAATATATAGTTGTCTGATACTCCACAGAGACCAGAATGGCTCATTGCTGTTATATTAGCCACCTGGAGCTTTCCTGAAC